AATGTCTATACAATTAGTACATTAAACAAGACTTATTTTCACCTACATTAGAAAGAGTTAATTACCATGTAATTAAAGTACTGCTTGGAGGATTTGAGAACTTGGACTTCTTGATTTTACCAGTACCTATAGTTATCTGATCATTTTGGCGTACCTTAGAAAATTGAATGCACTTGTGTGTTTGCGTAGTATCTATGTATGTACAAATTTTCGTCCACAATTTCGAGACTACCGTTCAACCGATTTGAATGATTAAATTAGCTGTAAGTAGAATTCTGTCTTAAGGCAATTAAGGCATCGTGCCTTAAGGCAAATTGCTGGAACTTCCCGTACCAAAAATTATTATTTTTTTAAAAGCGATTAACATTTTTGAAAAAAATTTACTTCGAAAAAATTAGATTTTTGAGAAACAAAAAAAAAAATTGTTTGAAAAAAAAAGTTTTCTTTATTTTGGCATAGTTTGGAAACTCTGAACTTTTTTTCAAAGCAATCGTACCACTTTAACAGCATAGAGACGAAATGTCAAAGCGCGTAAGCGCCGTGTCGCCGTCTAAATAAACATTGGTACGGAACTCATAGGAATGTAAACAAAATTTATACTTATTGTTAAAATCTCTATAAAACCTGATAATTTGATGTGCATATGTCTAATGATCATTTTTGACCGCCAAATGGCTTTTTGTTTTACTTTTTCATTAGATCTCCGAAACTGCTAGACCTGCCTTCATGAAAATTTGATCAGTTCTTCATCTTGTCAATACAAGTAAAATGTTTTTTGAATGATTCAAATCGGACGCTCCGTTCTCTTAAGAACTGAGTTACCATTTTTGGCTGCTTCCGTCAAAAACTAATCAGCACGTCTCCTTATCAATACAAATCGAATGTTTTTAAATTATTTAAATCGGTTGATCGGTGTTCTCGAAATCGTCGACGAAAATTTGTATCCGCACACACACACACGAACACACATACATCGATTTTTTCTAAAGTATGCCCAAATATTCAGAAACGTTTGAAACGTCGAGAAATGCAAAAATTTTCATTTTCGATTTTTTGCGATTACTATAACTTACCCTACGGGAAGTTAAAAAACATTCGATTCCTATTGATGGGAGACGTGCTGATTAGTTTTTGGCAGATCCTGTCATTTTCCTTAAGCACGTTGCCACGCACCACAAGTTCGTTTTACCGACCCACCGTTGCGGAGCCGCTGCGAGGATCCGGGCCCGACGCGGGTTCGTGGGACTGACCGATCGACTTATCGTTGAAGCAGTGTGTCAAGGTCGCGCCCGTGTCTTCGACCCGCGCTCGCCCAAACCCATTAAACGAGAACTTACATTTTTGTTTTTTAGTTTTTTTTGGTTTTTGTTTTTATTTCATCCTCTAATTTTCTCCGTATTGATAATGAGTGAGAGCTTTGCTCGCTTGTCTTATACAACACGCTTCATTTCCACGTCAACGTTTCTTTTACGACAATTTGTATGAATGTGAAAGATTTGATAACTCATTATGTACGTGCTTACATTTAGTAAGATACACATATACCTACTTCAATACACACACACACACACACACACACACATATATATATATATATATATATATATATATATATAAGGTAGAGCAAGGCCTAAAGATTCGCGGGTAAAAAGGTCCACCACCAATATTTCAGAGAGTAAAATTACATTTTTTTTAACCACAATATTTGAAAGTCGAGAGAAAACATTTATAACCAGCCATTACCTTGATCCTTACCACGTCGCTATCAGAAGATAAATGGCAATGTTTAAAAATCTATAACAAATGTTTTTTTTTCGTTGTTAGTTTTTTGGTTATGAACACTGTCGTTTATTTGTAGTGAGCACTGTCGTTATTGTTTAGTTTTCGAGCCCTAAATATAATTTTTAGGTAAACCTTTATTAATTGTTTTATTAGATGTATTGTTAATTTTAAGTTAGATGCAACAGTTTTATTTTATATAACCTCTATAAAAGCTTACACAAAAGTTGGGTAAAAAGGACTAACTGAACTTTGACCGTGGCAGAGGTTATAAGATTATATTTGTGCTTAGGTAGACAAAGTCAACCAAGCACAATTGAGTTTCTCTGTTAAAAAATATATATTTTATTGTTAGTTTTACATTAGAAAAAGTTTTAAATACAAAACCTTACATAAAAAAATATTAAATAAATAAGTAAATTAAGCTGAAAAGACAAACTTACAAGAGATAAATTATTGAATAGTTATTCCAACTCTGCTGCTGAATATTTCTGTTGAAATACCAGATTAAGGTTATATACAGTATTATCTCTGTAAAAATGTAGCCATGAAATTTATATCTGCATTGGTTTAATAATGTACCTATTATTTCGTAAAATTCCTTCAAGATTAAAAATTAGAAAAAAAACTTGTAAGAACAATACACATAATTAAAACATTTTTCAATTAAAAAATTCAATGAACAAATAACAAAAAAACATAACTACAATTATAAATCGTTCACAGTTGGATTTGATAAATGATGAATTAAGCATAATTGCAATATCAGATAATTTTGTATGTTATAATTTTTTATTCATGATAAAATAATATGTTTCAACGTCGAAAAAAATAAGAATGTATATATATATATATATATATATATATATATAAATGCATTCAGTTTCGTCAATTGAAATATAAGCTATACGAGGTGTGTTCAAAAAGTACCCGGAATTACTAACAATTAAATTTCGCGGGTCTGGAGTGTCTGATTGTCAAAAATTTTTTTTTATTGTGTTGGTATACATGCCCCTAAAGTATGATGAAATTTTCAGCTATATTCACTGTTTACTTTGTCTGTGGTAGTCGCTAAGGTTCGACGTGTTTTTCTGAGCTCGGCGATTTTTACAATGGAAGAATTGAAAAGTCAAAGAATTTGTATTAAATTTTGCGTAAAAAATGAAATAAAGTGTTGCAAAGTGCAAAAATTCACCAGATATGGCTCCGTGTGACTTTTTCCTATTCCCAAAGTTGAAGAGACCCATGAAAGGACGGCGGTTTTCCTCGATTGAAGAAAATCGCTGAGAGTGCTCAAGGACATATCAAAAAGTGAATATCAAGGGTGCTTCGAAAATTGGAAAAAACGCTGGCATAAGTGTATTATATCTGGGGGGGACTACTTTGAAGGGGACCACATTAATGTAGACGAATAAATAAATATTTTTTTGAAAAAAACGAAAATTCCGGGTACTTTTTGAACAGACCTCGTACACGTGCTAGTAATCAATTTAATTCTTGGCATGAAAATTACCGCGAAAAGATGCGTTGCCTGGTTCAAAATTGGCGAAAATAAAATTACTAAAAGTTAAAGAGAAATAAAAATAAAGAAAAGAGCTAAGGACTTTCTGTAACAGGGGTAAGTAGTGACAGGCCTTTTTCAATAGAATCTTAAACAATAAAACATTAATTTTTACTTTTGTAAATGTAACACGGCACTTTCAGTAGAAAATAATAAATTGTGAAATAATTACCATTAGTCATTGTACTATTTTTACTTTATTCGGCAGAGGAATAGTTACAGCATCTATCAATCTTTATTTCGTAGAAATATGATCAGTATATCTTAAGATATATTATTTAAAAAAAAAGTGTCCCAGAAGTCCCTAGCCCCCCTGAATATACGTAATAAATAATTGCTTTTATAATATTGTGAATGATTATTGAAGAAAATTTAAAAAAATGCTTAAAATAATTAGTGAAATTTTCAAATATTTTTAAACCTTCAATTATGTTCAATAAAGTTCAATGTTAACTAATTGCCATAATATTATATATAAAATCTCGGCGTTAATGTAAAATTATTTTAACTTGTGAAATTGTTGTAAATTTGCATATTAAAAATAGTTTTTGATTTTTCTTAATAGATAAAAAATGAGATCATATCCGCTTTGTAATTAGCTCATATTCGAAAATGTCATAGAATTTCGAATATGAATTTATTTTCAGCTAAATTTACTTATAATTTTCTAAATTTTATAAGAACGCGTATACATAAATATATATATATATATATATATATATATATATATATAAATCATCCCATTATTTTATTGAAATTCAATGAATTTCGTTTTATCGCCGAATAGAAACTTATGAATAACATTCATGCGTCATTACGGTTGAAAATTCAAAAGCTGCAAAATGTAATCCGCTGTAATCAAGTAATCGAGATCATATTATATGCGATTATATAAAATGTCTAACTGGATGATCAACTTTATAATGGTCAATTGTTCCGTAATGATGCATCGCCGGAGTTTAGAGTACAGCGCACTTTCTATTTCAATGTAGATTGGCACGTGGTCGCCGGCATCAAGTCCTTATGCGAATTGTATTCGTCATATATTCATGTTCTGAAAACAAAAAGAACTATGCGGAACTGTCGTATAATCTGTCGCCGTTGAATCTTTTGACTCATTACAGGACAAATCCAATATGTAAAGTAGTTGTATTGTTGTTTGAATTGAAGAAAGTTTAAAAACGACGTGTAACAGACACTACCGTACCTCCTGCTTTCGGACGGCCGGGGGAGGGGGGCCTAATGTTTTCTTATGTGCCGGTGTATTATGAAGATGTTGAAAAAAGGAACTATTTCCTATCGTTTCGAAAAAAATCTACGTACACACACATTTGCACGAACACATAGAAACTCCGCCTTCTTTGCCCCATCTGCTTTCCCGGTCGCACTAACGTCGATCGATATGGCACTTTCTTTTTCATTTGAGCACATATTGTAGAATAAATGAAATATATAAACATCCACATGGACCACGGTTTGAGTATAAAAAGACTGAACTCATGAATGATCATCATCAAAATCATCTCCAATCTCAAAGAGTCAAGTGCAACAAAGGACTACTCAGTTTTTTTTGTAACGAATTAAACGATTCTTTGGACGTTTTAAATAACGACTTTGTTTTCGATATTTTTTGGAAGAAATACCAAACAAAAAACCAAATATGAGGATTTTTGTGTGCGCAGCTATTTTGGCGGTTGTGTCTGCCGCCCCAAGTGTGCTTGACAACCAAATCGAGAGGGATTCGGAACGCAATGCCGGAGCATGGGACAGGATGTCTAGGACGCTCGTGGCTTGTGCCGGAGCCGAGGACATGACGTCCTGTCTGGCAGTGAAAGGAGTAGCCATGCTCGATCGTGCAGCCCGACAACAAAAAATCGAAATCTTACCAGGAGTTTCATTCAACAGGTAACGCTTGCAAATCTAATTATATATATATATATATATATATATATATATATATATATAATATTATTTTAATTTTAATATCTTTGATCATTTATATTTAGAAAACAATTAAAAATATTTGAAAAAATAAATAAATAAATATCTTACTAAACGATGATTATCAATTTATATTATTTGACAACAGATAACATTTTTACATAAAATTTAAATTAATAAAATTATTTGTTAGAATTACATATAACGAACGATTCCTAACGCAAATTATTAACATTCCAAAGTAAAAATATTACCTTGAGTTAACCTAAAGATGTAAAGCTGACGTTTACTATTTCCGTTCTGAATATAAAATAAAAACATCAAAATTTAGCAAAATATAAAACACGCAATTGAAAATTAAATAGTTAATTTATTATTTATATATTTAATTATTTTTTATAAAAAATATATCGGTTGTTTTCAAAAATCAATTTTTTGTTGTCCTTTAATTCTCGTTTTAATCTTTTTTGCAATTATTATCAACATGCTCTCGTAAAATTTGATTGAAAATGAAAATGCGTTGCATCATTGCATTTCTATTTTTACGAAATTATTAACGTATAAAAATTTCGCTAGTATAATCTGCTCACAAAATATTAGTGCGGAAAAATTCTTCCTCATTCATGTCACAATCGAATGTATAGCTTAACGGATATTTACATGCACATTGTTTTCTTTGCAAGAACAATTAACACCGCAATGTAAATAGCTGGCGAAATGGGCCAATAACTGTATGTACCATGTTCCACATGACCGTGCAATACAATACTCTATTATTCACTTGACACACTCATACGCGACACGCCCAATTCGTCCGAGGTGTCACTTCTCAAAAACATCATCTCGAATAATATCGCAAATGCTTCGAATTCTCGCACATACTTATCCATTCGTTCAACTCGAGCAAAAATTCAATTCTTCAGTTGGAAGTTCTCATTCGGTCACATAATTGCTCTTGACAACTTCTGTGTCAAGAACTATTAATACAATGTGCCTACGCATAAACAAATCAAAGTCGTTAATAGTACCTCTCGAGTCGAACATTATAATTGTTGAGATCAAACAAATGTTTGAATAAAGTAAGACTTCCAAAAACAACAATCGTATATCAGTAACGATCAGTGAATTAAACGTACGATTTACATTACAGAGACAGCGCCTATGAAGTAAGTCGTGAAGGAAAAGCTTTAAGTGAAGATGAAATTGCATCTAAATTGCCAACGAATGGAGAAGAAAAGAATGCACGTCTTTTGGACTTGATCTCTGAAGCCGCTTCAAGATTCATCAGCAGCCACAGCCTCCAAGTTAAATTACCCGAAGATGCCGCCCAAAGCGTAGCCAGAGCCATCGAAGAAGGACGTAAGTATTTTATCAATTAATTCATAAAACGCTTACTCAAATAAAATATTTTTGCGAATATTTAATTGCTATTTATATCTATTCTAAAGCATCAATTTCGACTTATTGTTTGATGTTCGTCAAATTAATTATAATGTTTTATATTATATCCATAGCGTAGTACAAATGATTTTAGTACGCTGATATGAATGTAAAACAGGTTTATAAATAATAATTTTATAATATAAAAACGAATCTTATATCATATAAAAGTTGCCTTATTAGCTGAATAGTGTGTAAAAAGAAAGTATATATATAATGCAAATGAATTTGAACAACAAAAATCGTATAAAGTGAATTTAAGAAAACGAAAGTGAAGATGCTGCGATCACACTGATTCATTATTCTGAAGAAAGTAAAAACTGTTACGAAATGGTTTGCGTGAACATTAAATTACAATTACTGACCTAAATCGTAAGAACTTGACTCTTTATACTGAACGAAACACAATGAAAACAATTTTCACATATTAGCAACATATATGCTCAATCTGACGTTGTTGCAATAATGTTATTCATACAAGAATTATTTCATTATTAATAATATAATGTTTTGTTATTTATTAAAGGTCGCGGAGGAAAAATGAAGAAAATGTTGGGACCCATCATCATGGCTGTAGGTGCTAAATTGGTTGCCATCATTCCTTTAGTTTTGGGTGGAATCGCTTTCTTGGCAGTTAAGGCTTTGATTGTATCTAAGATCGCTTTCATCTTGGCTGCCGTCCTCGCAGTACAAAAACTTTTCGGTGGAAGCAGCGGATACAGCTCCAGCATCTTGGGAAAAGTGAGTAAATATTCATAATAATTCCCAATATAAGAGCAGCGAAAGCATTATTTTTAATAAAACAAATATTACGTCGCTCATAACGTTTGTTTGCTATTCCAAAAATGATAGATTTTTTGTAATAGATTATTTGAAAAATAAGCATTAATAATTGGCTATTATGAACAAAACTATATTAATTATTACAATAGGGTTGATAAAACATTGCGCTCATATTTGGAATTAAAGTTTAGAATCGACCGTCTTGAAAACATAGAAAATCATAAAGCGAAATAAACAAATATATTTCTAAATTCTTCAATGAAAACTGGTAATGAAACTAATATGTTCTCAGACACCTAAAATCATATATAATTTCATAAAAATTGCATGAATATTGAACGTTTCATCGTTTTTTCAGTAGCACTTTACCACCGATTTCTAGTCATCATTCAACCAATTAAGAACCATAACAATGACTCTGGAATGTGCTAACTATCTGTTTCTTTTACAATTCAACAAACAAATACTAAAATAGTGAAATTAACATCGCTAAACATAAGGTAAATCCGACGAATATTCTTAATCAAAATAATCTAAAAAAAACCTAAAACAATACTGGTCTAATCGTTGACACAAATAGTATTATATGTAAAGATGACACGACTGTGACAATGCTGACGCAATTTTCGACTTTCCCTAGTTCTCCGGCGCTGGTAGCCAAGGATGGTCAAGCTACTCACCAGCAAGTTCCGGCTGGGCTTCCGGCGGCACCACACAACAAGGATGGTCATCAGGTTCATCTGGCAGCTCTAGCTACCCATACGCGCGTAGCTTCGATGCTCAGTCGATGGCATACAGTGGCCAAAAACCAGAATAACGTACCAAATTCTAGACATTTAGCACTAAATCTTATGAAATGGACGTCTATGACGACCGATTGATGCCATGTTAATTGTTCTTCCTATTCTACGAAAAAACACATCAGACCCTTGCTATTGTACAGACTTTTTTACTCATCACTCATCGTCTTCTGTTTTAAGATGTATTCATGTCTGATTAGTTAGTAACTTATTTATTGTGTTAATTTTACTAATAAATTATTTATTATTTATATAGTAATTAAAACTATGTCATATGTTATCATCAATTTATTTAATAAAAAATCATATTTATTAAAAAGTTTTTTTCAATATAATATACTACGCATGTGGATAATCTGATATATATATATATATATATATATATATATATAAATATATAAAATATATATATAAAAAAACATCTATTTATTTACTGTCCACATTTCGGAAGTAGATACGTTTCATCTTCAGGACATCTGTCAAGAAACATGATCTTGATTTAAATTTGTTTAAATTCAAGATTCAAACAAACAACATATTTAGAAAAAATAGAAAATGCTGAATTTTTAATATACAATGAATAAAACTGTGGAAGAAAGTTCCGAAACGTCGATAGTAAATAAATAAAAAATGTTTTTTTTTTTAAAAAAAAACTTTTTTGTTTTTTAATACATTTGGATTCTTTGTTCGGAGCTCTAAAAATATTTACAAATTCAAGATTCTACCATCTGGGTATATATACATATTAAGAAGTTAATTTCAGTTTAATTTTTTTGTTGAATTAAAATATATCATCAATAACACTGTATTAAATAAAGAGTCCAATTTTGGCTTGGATAGATTTGCCTTGGCGTTACTTTGTGCTCTCAAAGAAAAATAATTAAAAAAATTGTTACTAAAACATACTTTTAATATTTTTGTACTATTAAAGTACAACATTTCTAAAGTTCATTAAGAATAATTTCTGCAAATATAGAAATATATAAAATTTAATAAGCACGTTTCTTATTTTTTACAAATTCGTCTATATTTAATTCACGAAAATTTTATTATAATCACATGTTATATTTAATATTTTATTTGGTTAAAAGCAATATATCAGTATGATTTGTGTATGGCAAATATTAAGTTTACTTTCGTCCAGAAATATAGCTTATTTAGTGGCTTTTAGAGTAAAAATACAAATAGAAACACAATTTACACTTCGGAATATTATTTAGAATATTTAAAGAATGTTGTAAAAAACTATTTAAATTTTTGTGTTTCATATAAGTACCCTAAGAATAATCCCATATGGCAAAAAAGATCATTGGACTATCACCTTCTACATTTAGCATAAGCAAAAATGTACACAAAGTGCAAACTCAGTTAAAATGTATGTATTACATACTTTTTATGCAAAAAATGTCTATACATATTATCCATATTTTATTAAATATTTACCCAATTAGGTGTTTGAATAATATGTAGAAAAATGATTAATGTTCAACATTGTCCACATCAAAACCTAATTAAACATAATTCGGATTTCGCTGACAGCATTGTACGATTCATTAGTGCCATGCAACTGTAAATTAAGTTTTATCTTTCAAATGCAAGTAATAATGCAAAATTGTGTTTCTCGATAAAACCAGGAACTGGATAGAGTATGTCACAAAGTGTTTATAACAAAAATTAATTTCGTTACTTCTTCGTACCTCTACAAAACCCTCAAGTCATATTCAAGTTTGGGTTTATTTTTGTACCATACATAAAAAAATATCCTATACTGCCAAGCTTAACAGCAAAACCTTTGATTGGATCATAGGGCAAAAATCCAAGTTATCTCTGGACCGCTAAAGTAAGTCTAACGTAAGTTCTACTCAACGAATGTAATCTAAATAATTAAATTTTTATGAATAATTATAATTATTAATAATTATCAATGTATCATAGTTTTTGTAATATTTGCAATAAAATCATTCACACCTACCAAAATTATATTGCAGTTGACGTCATCAATAAAGGTCTGATAAAAAAAGCTCAAGAATAATAAAGTTCACAAATACAAAAATTATATTTAGCGGATAATTATTTATTGAAACAATTTTGACATTCATGTAGAAATTTGTTACATTTAGTTTATTGGTTGTGTATTTTTTAAGATTTAATTGAACCATGAAAATTTTTGGGGCAATTCGACTACTCTGTGTAATTTACTCATTGAAAATTGAGTTGAATTAATTGGTTGAAAACCAATGTTTTTTTATATGGTATTGCGCATTAAGGCAATATTCTAAAACTAAGTTTAATTAATAGACTGAAATTTTGAATTGATAAAAATTATTAATAAAAAGTTGCAATTTGCTAAAACCACTAGTGTATTAAGTAGTTATGTTCATCAGGTGCATGTTATGTTTTTTTCACAAAACTGAAATTTGATGAAACGTTTTTAATTTTGTTTTTTAACTTCCCGCAGGGTACGTAGTAATATGCTGAAAATCGAAAATGAAATTTTTTCCATATCTTCATGTTTCAGAGGTTTTTGAACATTCTGGCATACCTCAGAAAAAATGGATGTGCGTGTGTTTTGTATGTCCTATACATTTTTTTTATATCGAAAATAATTCAAATTTAAATTTTAATTCTGGCTAAAGCTCTAAAGCTCACTTAAATACTTCAAACGAATAATTTTAAAATTGTAATTCAGTTTATATAATTCTTATAACTATTAGGCAATGTAACAGTATTTATAATAATCTATTTGAAAACATTTAATATTTCTCGAACATTTCGTTACGGTACGGGAAGTTACAGCAATTTTCCTTAAGGCACGATGCCATACACAACTAGTTTTCAATAATATTAAGTATCACGTAAAATTAAGAAAATAACAAAAATTTTCTAATACCTTTGTAGCAATAATAATAATTAGCACACAGTTATTTTTAAAAATTCAAAAATTGGTTAAAAAATGATACGGATTTCTGTAAAAACAGATATTTTAATATATATATTTTTGAACCTAAAAATAAGTAATAATAAATAATAATATGACAACTTATTTAATTATTCCAATACCTTTCAACACCAAACGTTCCATCGGCTGCACGCTTTTTCAAGATTTTTTATTTTTTGAAAACATTCAAAAAGAGACGAAAATTTGAATGGAAGCAAACATTTTTCTCATACAAATTACTTATTTATTTGGTATTTGTTCCATATTTTATGTTTGTCAGGTCGATACCTTAAGCGCTTCAAAGAGAAAATGTTTAAATAAGATGAACTAACAATATTTAGATAATCGTATTTTATTTTAGTAGTGTGAAAAAATAAAAACTTATTTATTGATTGCCAAATGTTTATACGCACGTTATAAATTATTTTTTTATAAGATAATAAAAATAAATATTAAAAATAATAATAAAGGTGCTAAAAATAAAACAAATGGCAAAATTTGCAAATGGTTTAATTAAAAATATTGATGAACAGATTACACTGCGCGATAGTAAAATATTTTCTTGCGATATTATTATGGTTTTTAAGATGTTCCAGGACGCTGATTCCGAAAACAAAAACAGAAATTCGCTACCAGCTCTAGTTTTCGAGATATGCAATATGCCAGTTTTACCTCAAATTCTAAAAAAATACGATATATTTTATTTTATGCCTTCAAAAGTCTTTTTATATGATTTCCAAACGTAGAAAAGGTCTGACTGATTTGTAATAAGCTCCAACAATTGTCAGCCATCATGTGGATGTCCCACTTTCCTTGATATCGTTCCTCCAAAGTCCTGATGTCGGATACTCTCGCCCTGCTTTTCGCTAATATCTCCACAATTTTCCAAAAACCGTTCTGAATAAGAGTGTGGGTAATGAATTCAAATTAATTACATCAAATATATCAGTTTTAATGCTTCTCTTTTAACGTTTTTACTTGGTAAGCAGAAGATGTTGATGCTCTAGATTGTTCACCATTGGCATGGATGGGGTTCGTGTAGCTGACCAAAAGTAGACTTCAATGCCATTGGGGTTGTGGTATATGACTATTTGCTCCTATTGCCTGAATTTTTTACATTCATATTTACCACATAGACGAAACATAGCCGTCGTGGTAATTCTGAAGTTTTTTCTAAATAACAGGAGTGTTAAAATTATACCATTTCTTTTTTCTTCTGAATAATAACGTGAACATTCTACGCAATTTTTTCACCTAGATTGAAGAACCCATGTTTCGTCTTTATTGCGCAATTTAGTTTTAAAGTGGTCGAAATACGATGTCTTTATGCAATTTATAGATTTCTTTCTTTTTTATAGATTTAAAAAAAAAGTTCGAGGAAAAAAATAAATGTGATCTTAATCCGGTATTTCGTCGGAAATGTTCATCGGCAGAATTAAAATAACTATTTATTCAATTTATCACTTGTTAAATTGCTTTTTTAACTTTTTTTCCTTATTTACTATTTGTTGGTTATTGTTTAAACCTTTGACAGGGTAATGAATAGTGGGATGACTGCACCCCTTTTAACCCACCCAGGTGTAAGCTTCTATGGAGGTAATATAAAAAAATTGTTGAATCTAACTTAAAATTAACAATACATCTATATAATGTATACTTAAAAATTATATTAAGGTCTCGTGAACTAAACAACAGTGCTCACAACCAAAAAAACTAACAACAAAAGAACATGCTTTTGTTATGGATTTTTAAACATTGTCAATTAATCAAGGCGATGACGGGATATATCTCTTTCCCTCTACTTTAAACAATTGTTATTAAAAAATTTTGAACTTTACTTGTTCTTGAGATATCGATGGTAGACATTTTACGGACCTTTAAGCCCCGCAATAAGAGCGCGGCTCATTGTTACAAACTTTAATAACTTTTTATAATTAAACCAC